ATATAGTGCTATGATAAATATATATGCATGAATGTAGCAACACAGTTGAACTCAGTTGGAACAACTGAGGCCTTATTGTATCTCAAAGCACTTAGACATATCTTACAGTTGAATGTAACTGCTGATGTATTTGTTTATGGTATACACTGGGATGTCACTAAAGCACAGTGATGATGACCAGTGGTCAGTTTTTTTCCCCCTTCTGTAATAGACCCTTTTTTGTTTGGTTTGTTTTTAATAGCATTTGACAAAGTGTTCAAATGTGTTTTTGTAGTGATCTTCGGAGGAAAAGTACTACTTACTCTATTTAGAACACTTGTAGATTTCTTTTTGTACGATCAGTCCCATAATACATACTTAATTGCCTCTAGGTCTCATACTACCCTAGAGAAGGTAGGTGTACAGAACAACCTTGCTAGGCATTCTGTCAGGTCCCAGGATGGCTGCTATAAACTGAACCAAAATGGACGCCTGACCATCTCTATTTTTGTTGCTCTTTTGGATAGCTTAATTTTCCATTGGTAAAGCCTGTTACTCCTTGGGTTGCTAGGCTGCCATTTAAGGCACTGAAAAGCAAGCATTTATCTAGTGGAGCCTTATTACTTTCTTGTGTTTCTTCCATGCAGTGCATGCCAACTGTTAATAGATCATATTGTTGAAAAGCAGGTAATTTTTGATAGATTCTAAAAAGAGTTACAGATATTGCTTATATTTTATATTTAAATATATTTTAGAGGCCTCGTTTAGCTCAAAAAACAAAGTTTCAGGATACTTGATAAAATAACTATACTAACAATATGTTCTGTAAACAATGTAATACATAATGAAAGGCAGTCTTTATAGACATTACATTAATTTCAGTTAAATGTATCACTCAGTCTTTTGATAATATAATTATAGTCTGTGTCATGATATTTTATAATTTTAACCTTATATTCAGAACCAAATTCCAGTTGGTTCTGAACTTGATTCCTTTGTTTCCTCTTGGAATCTAGGATGACATTTAAAAATAGCTTTTCTTCAATGGGGGATTGACACAACAAGGTTAAGTCTTCTCTAATGTTCTGTGTATATGTGCATGTATATATAAACCTGAACCAAATTGACTAAAATGAAAAACTCAGTGGATGCATTTGTAACAGCTCATCCGTAGCGGTGCTTGCAAGCATGGTGCTCCCTCAAACGACATAAAGATATCCCAATTAAAACATTGGTCTGGTCCATAGTTATAACTTGTTCATTTTAGGGCCTTAACCTAATTCAGCCTATTTATGTGGAATTGGCCAGTAATAGTTCATTTTCATATGGGCTCTTTCAGTATAAACAGGAAATTGACATTGAAAACAGGGTCAATTGTCTTGATCACATCAACTTTCTCTGCACCAGTATCCCCCCCATCAACAACAGAAGGCAGTATATCACCTTGTAAAATAGTTCACCGAAAGATTTATTTTTTTCTAACCCTTTTTAGACTCTGATAGTGTCTAATATCTCAATACCAGATGTGCCAGCATGATTGATAAATATTGTTATATAAGTTTATATGTGATTGCTGAACAGGACTTAATACAAAAGGAGAGCATCTTACAGCTGGTGTCCTAGGTAAAATATATAGTGTTCACAAGTCTTCTCAAGCATAGGGATTTTTACCTGCTGACTCTAATATGCCTTTGTTGTACTTTCTAAACTTCTTATTTGGAAAATAATTTATTTATATCTTTGAGGATTTATATCAGAACAAATTATTACCTAACCTTGAATCTACCAAAGCCAGCTTTGTCATATACACTAAAGTGATTGAATTTAGAAAGACAGTAGAAACATTCCCCCATACTTGGAGAATGTCATTTATTTCTACCATTTATACTTGAAATCTTTGTAGAGTATAAAATATTTTCAGAATGCCTCAGATAGTACACAGAATAACAAAGAAAAACCATGTACTCCTGGTTTTTTCAGATCTTAAAATTTGACCATATTTGAAGAATTTGAGCAATTGAAATCTTCAGTATAACTTTTATTCCCTCCCTTCAAAGAAGTACTATGCTGAATTTGGTATTTATAATTCTGTTGAATTTTTACATACTTCATATATCATCTATCTATCCACCCACCCACCTTCCTACCCACCCACCCTCCTACCTATCTGTATACTCTTAATTGAGATATAACATTATTTTGCTTATAAAGTTGTTAAAATTTTTGTAAATGATATCCCTGAAAGTATTCTTCTCTAACTTGCTATTATCAATCAGTATTAATGTTTTGAAATGTGTCCATATTTGTAGATGGGGCTGGAGTTAATTCATTTTAATTTTAAGGTATTAGGCTGTACAGTTAGAGGATGTAGTCTCCAAAAGACCACTCACAATTATAATACCAGCTGCTAGATTGTGGGTTCTACAGAATTACCCTCAGGTTTGATTATTTACTACATGGACTTGACAGGGTTCCTTAAAAGCTGTTATTGTTTTAGTTTATTCGAGGGAATACATATAGATTGAAGTTAGTCAAGTAAAGAAATGTATAGGACAGAGCCCAGAAGGGTTCCCAATGTGGAGTTTCCAGTTGTCCTTTGACTACTTACAAGTATTGAGGTGAAATTCTTTACTACAACATATGAATATATATTTTCTTTTATTTATTCTTCTCTTGATGGATATTTGGGTTGTCTGTGAATACTACCTCTTTTATTTATTAATGAACACATATATTTCTGTATGGCATGTACTAACTTCTTTACAAATATTAATTCCTTTCTTGCCCAAAAGGACACTTATTATATAAATCAGTGATACTATTCTATACTTGAGAAAAATAGGATACAGGTAGGCTAAATATCTCATTCAAGGTCACAGAGCTAGTAGATGGAATAGTTGGTAAATGAACTTAGGTAGTCAAAATTCTTCCTCTTAACCTTATGCTGTGCACATATATCTGTATATGTATGAGGCTTGGTAAAAGCCCTATGTCTAACAATAGAATTGATGCTCTGTGGATACATGAATCTTGAACTTGACTAGATTTGCCAAAATGTTATACAAACTTTTTAAGCAATTAGTTTAAACAGTTAGTAATATAATCTTTGCCAGTCTGTGGTTTGTCTTTACTTTTTTTGTTCAGATATTTAAATGTTTAAAGTGTTCCATTTCCAGTCTTTTTCCTTTATGATTTTTGCATCATATTGAACTAATCTTTTCCTCAGTTAAAAAACATGTCCTTCTATATATTCTTGTAAAATTATTACTTTTTACATGTATGTCTTTCAATTACCTGGAATTGATTTTGAATATGGCATAAAGCAAAGACGTAATTATTTTCCTTATATAGACAAACTATTGTCTCCAAGCCATTTTCAATAGTCCATTCTTTCTCTAGTTGTTTACAGTGCTACTTCTGTCATATAATCATTTCCGAATATGCATAGTTCTTATCTATTAATTTCCTATTGCCACCATAAAAAACTTAATAACTTAAAACAACATAAATTTATTATATTACATCCTGGAGGTCAGAAGTCTAAAACTGGTTAGCAGGGCTGCATTCCTTCTTGGGGCACTAGGGAAGACTCTGTTCCTTGCCTTTTTATCAGTTTAAAGAGGCCTCCTCTGCATTTCTTGGCTTGAGTCCCCCTTCCAGCAGTGGAGACACTCTGATCTCTGCTCCCATTTTCACATCTTCTTTGACTTTCTTATACTTTCTTCTGAAGAACCTTGTAATTATATTGTACCCACCATGATAATATTCCCATCCTAAGATCTTTAATATAATCACACCTAGAAAGTCCTTCTTTCCATGTAAGATTACTTATTCACATTCCAAGGGACTGAGATGTGGATATCTTGGGGAAGATGTGTGTGTGGGGGGGGAGGGGTTGGCATTTTCAGCATACTGCAGCCTTCCTTGTGGACATTTCATTAATCTTTTCTCATATTTTTGATTCATATGTTTGAGTCACACTAATAATCTGATAGTTATATCTGAATAATATTTTGAGAAGTTTAGTTCTGCTCTTTGTGTGCTGATTCTCCCTTAGGGTTTGACATATTTCTTAATATGTGATTTTGGACTATAAATTCATCATTAGGGGTATCTTATTTTTGACAATTGCACATGGCCTTGGTTGAAGTCATATCTTGGTAGAAAGCTTTAGCAATTGCTTCCTCCAGGTTTCCGAGTTATCACTAACTTCTCATGATATTTCATTTGGTTACACTGATTGTCTCCCTAGCTTATGTGAGAGTAGACCACTTGCTGTGAACACAGTTATAATCTTCTCTACCCAGACTTAAGACAAAACTAATGATTCATTTTCTCCCTCTGTTAGTAAGTGGATTTCTTTCTGAGACCACCATTTAATTGAGATGCAGCCCCATAAACATCCAGATGTTATGAGAGATTAGTTATTTTTCTGCTCCCTGGCTTGTTTAGATCTTAAGGCATCTCCTATGTGGACATTAAAACCCCAAAACTTAGGTTGCTGAGTTAGGAAACTTCTTAGAGCTTCTGCTGCATTAACTCATACACTTGCTGTTCTAGTTTTCAATTCCCAGTTAAATTTTGGCTCTTGGTCATTTCGCTTACTTTTGTGGTAAGTAAAGGGGTCTCCCAAAGTTTTCCCTTCCTGGTCCCTCTTTAACACTTTTACTATGGTGATTTTGATTGGGTGTCTTACATATCACCTTGTGAAGATATTTGTGGTTTATGCATCTTAAGTATGCAGGAGCTGATTTTAGGGGATAATCATCACCTGCTTGGGAACCCTTCTGGCTTGGTCACAATTGCATGTGTTAACATTGTATTATTAGCAATAACAGCTCTGCTGCATCAAGATATTGCTAATCTTACTTCTGATAGACTCTTAATACCATGATGGAGAAAATTATAAATGATCATATATTTTTCTGTAATATCAGTTATTAAATGTAAGACACTTAAAATACTCTTACCTTAATTTCAACTCAATTATCCTAGTTATTATTTTTCTATTTTCTTTCTAGGATGTGTGCTGTGTTTGGTGGAATCTATTGTCTTCGCCATTCTGTACAGTGCCTTGTAGTGGACAAAGAATCCAGAAAGTAAGGATGATATAAGTAACCTTAATATATTTATACCCCAAACACAGGTGAAAAATGCTGAAGTCAATTAAAAAAAAAGATTCTTGAAAGATTCTCCTTGATATTAATAACATATCAACCTTGATTAAAAGTAATTTGTGTTTAGGTCCTCCAGAACAAGGAAAGTGAGTTCAGAATATAGAAACTAAATTAATTTCCCTGCAATATGACTATAGTCCCTGATCATCCAAGCTTGGAAGACAAATCATTTCAGCTGCCGGGGGTGGGTGATGAGTGATGTTAGTTTTCCTTGTGGCCTTACCTCCTCTAATTGATTTTCATCAGATGACAACAAAGCCCTCTGTTATTGCATTTTTAAAAATGGAGCTCACCTAAAGACTCATCAGATTAATCTCTGCTGATAATGCATGTCACTCCAAGAGAAAAGACTTTAATGAGGTTTTAGGTAGATTGTTGTCATAAACTATGCTGCCCTGTTATCTGAGGATAAATTCTTTTACAACAATAGCAGCCCTACAGGCTGGCTTAGGATTGAAATAAGAATTTATCTGCTTTTTTTTTAAGCTGAGCACTACCTATTCACCTATGTATATTTGAATTGTTTCCTAGGATTTATTATTAGTTACTAAGATATGCAGTTGTCTAAATTATATTAAATAAAATACAACTCTATATTTTCTGTGTTTCACATTGAACCTAAAATAGGTCAACTGGGTCAAGTTTTTGAAGCTGTTGAGATTGATGTATACTTTTCTTATTTGTGATATGTTCTTAAGCATCTAGTAACCTATACTTTTTGGATGACTGTTTTTAGTACTCTATAGTTTTGGTGGCATTTATTGTATTTATTTATAGAAATAATATTTTTAGAGTCATAAATGTCATATTGTGGTCTGGATCTTACAAGTTTTAAGCTATTTCTTTCATTTTTCAATAATTTTGTGTAGTCTAGGTGGCATTAAATGGCTACGAACATTTCATAGACTAGATATAGTACAATAACTAGTACTTTAAGGTATAGCAAAGAAAAAACAAAACTCCAAGTCCAATGCTTAGTGAATTTGCAATTTGTAATGTAAGATAAAATTGACACACGATTTAAAAGGCTTCTAAATCACCTTTAGCATTTTAAGAGAAAGGTATTACATAAATTGAAAATGATAATCTAAAGTTAAAAAAAAATCCACCAAAGCCCAGGGTATTCATATTTTGGCTCCTGAAGAGCTCTGTAGAAGTTCATGAATGAATGGTTTTCTGTATGACTTCCATAGACATTTCTCCTTCCGAGTTCATTTTGAAGCAAGAGCGTATTCCCATGACAGAAAATCAGATAATGAATTGCTTGTTTGGTGCTTATTTGCTTAGCCCCATACCAGTCCCACGTTATTCTCAGTGACATGAAGTATCTGCATGGCTCATTTTGCCAGGGCACTGGTACAGTAATAACACTTGTTGAACTAAGGGATACATTTACCTTACCTTTGACTTAGTTTTTATGATGTACAGTGAACAAAAGAACTCTTTTTATGTTCTGCAGAGATGACAGTTGAAACAGGTAGCTTAGATATAAAGGTCTAGAGACCAAAAAACCTGCCAGATTGGTAGTTTTCAAAGTATAATGTGTCTTTAAGAATTGTCAGGCATGCTTCTAAAAAAAGGAAGGATTTCTTGTGTTTCACCCTCAGGGAATGAAATTTGGTGATGTGCTTATGGTAGAACCAGGGAATTTCCAGTTTTATGGAACATCCCAGTTGAATACAATGTACTAATCCTTAGATGATACTGAGAAACAATTATTTGTATAAGGTAAAGTTGAAGATTTAGCCAAGCATACTGTGATCTATGATGGACTGGGGGCTCTAGGTCTTAATTTGTTCTAAGACGTTTTCAAGAGGAACCTGCCAGATATACTGGCAATCAAATGTGAACTTTAGATAGTAAGTACAATGTTTCTAATCTAACGTTTTGTATCGTTATAGAAAAATCTGAAATATAACTTTTGTTGTTTAATAATTCCTGAGACATGTGTAAAGATCTCTAGCCCTGGCATGACAGAAGACTTGGAATTCTACTGCTGTTGTGAATGACTGTGGGCAATACTTTTCTCTGGGCCAGTTCGTTTTATTATAACTTAGAAACTGAGGTTATTTTCATGTCTCCTTCCAGATCTGACATGCTTTAGTTGTCATTTAAAGTTCATAGAACTTAGTTTTCCTTAACATTTAGAAATAATGACCTTAAAATATTTTATATGCCCAAATGTAAGCCATTTTTACACATGCCCCAGTGAGAACACAAAAAGAAAAAAAAATATGAACAACTTATGTGTTAACTTTTATGCATATAAATGAAATACTGCAACTTCTACTTTGTGTTGTTTATCGTATCATTGATTGCTATAATCACAGTTTACAGTGAACATAATTTTCTTCTCTGTCTTGCTTTTTAAGATACACAGATTTTGGATACTACATCTGACTCTTTAATGTTTACTTCATGCCATAACTATTTATTTCTATAGTAATGGGAGAGGTTTTAATTTGGCTTGCACTTATAAAATTCTTGATATCTACCATATTCTCAAGATATGAATTGCTTAAGTAATCTAAGTTTTGCTAAGAAACAATACTTGAGAGGCTAGGGCTGCTCAGCGGTAGCGCAGTTGCCTGCCATATATATGTGAGGCACTGGGTTTGATTCTCAGCACCAAATATAAATAAATGAAATAAAGGTCTGTCAACAACTAAAAATAAATTTAAAAAAAGAAACAATACTTGAAAATTATAGATTTGTACCTTTAGTAACAATTACCAATTTATATTAATTTTTGTTTCTTTAAAAAAATCTATCAAGTCAAAAATAGTCTCTATAAATACCTAAAGTTAGCATTGATTCAGGTTGGTTCAGGCTAATATATCTTTCTCAAACACTACTTCCTCATACAAAATCAAATATTTGAGAGAAATACCCATAATAGGAGATATTTTGTGAGAACTTAAATATAATGTGAAGGATCAGTAGTTAAGGAAAAACCCTAATCTTGTAGTTAGGTGTATCCAGCACATGTTTGTTTTTAGGAAATCTTGGTATAATCTATAATCAGAATATTAAGTAAGGGATTTACTAAGATTTACACTTGTCTCCTTATAAATTTAGTTTGCTGCTCTTTGCTTTTTAAAAAAAAAAAAAATTTGGTAGGGGTGGGGGTGGGGGGATTGAACAGGAGTACTTTACCATTGAGCTACATTCCCAGCCCCTCTTTTTTTATTTTGAGACAAGTTGCTGAGGGTCCTGCTATACTGCTGATACTGGTGTTGAACTTGTGATTCTCTTATCTCATCCCCCACCCCTAGACGCTGGGATTATAGGTGTGCACCACCACACCTGCATCTTTCCCTATTTTTCTATGTGGAATGCTTGATATTTCCCTTACACTTTAATGTGTAAGAGCTTCACATTACATATTTAATGTGTAAGATGCGTCAGGTCAAATTTCTAAGTTCATTTCCTGATCTCACAGACTAGGTCAGAACCTTATGTTACCTACCAGTCAGGTACCTTTATATGATTATTTGATAAGTTATCTGTAGGAAAAGGCAGGATCTTACTATTGTATCCCCCAAATTTAGGCAGGTTCTTAGTACCCATTATTCTCAGTAACTTTGAATTAAATGAGTGAATGAAGATTAAAGACTAATTATAGCCTTTTTGGTACTTTTCACCTTCCATTTATAAAAGCTGATAGAAACATAAATGATCATAGTATTGAGTTTAATGAGGTAATTACATATCAAAGTACTATACAAACTTTGAGAGATAAAACAGAACATTAAGGACACACAGGAAATAATAGTATATGGAATATATAAACAAATGCATATTTATTTTTAAATAGATCTGAGTTTTGATTTTTGTTTAATTTGATTTTTCTGAGATGCACATTGCCTGTGTTATCCTCACTATATTATCCATTAATGCTACTTTCTTAATTTGAAAGACTATAGGTATGTATTAGTTGTTCTTTTCTAAATTTTAATACTGTACCCTCTGCTGGCTGTTTTTGGAATCAATGAATGTTTTTGTTGGACTAGCTTTATTGTTTTTTTTCCTTTGCAGCTAACCCTACTGGGTAAAACTCATGTAAATTAAACTTTGCCATTTAGGAGTACAATATTTGACATTTGGGTAGGCTAGGTAAGACCTTGGACCAGATATATCTATAATCAGTGGTCCTCACCTTAGGACTTCCAACTAGTGTTCCATGTGTACTTTAACTTTCTCACTTAACTGGATTTTCTGCCATGACTTTTTTTTTTTTTAAGATAACGTTTTTCTGATGTCAGGAACAACTGTACCTAACCTGGATGCTTGGGAGTTAGTAATAATAGTATGTTAGCATAACATGGATGATTCAATACCATTTATCATCTCTGAAGCTGTGATTTCAGTGTATCCCATTGGCAAAGGGGTAATGATTGTATTCTAGATAGTTAACCTTTAATGAACCCCATGGTAGTTGCTACAGGGATAAACAAGTAAGCAAAAGATAGACCCTGCCCTTTTATACAGAGATTGCAGTTAAGAGTGTAGGCTTTAAAGTCAGATAGACTAGAATTTGATCCTGACTTTGCTACTTTCTATATGTGTAAACTTCAACAAGTTGTTTAACTTCTTTTTACCCCAGTTTCATTACTTGGAAAGAGGAGTAATTGGCAATACCCTGCCCCATAGTATTATTATGAATATTAAATGAATAAAGCTTGTAAAAACCATTTGTTACACATAGAAAGAGTTCAGTATATATTAGTAGCAATTGTTAATATTACTGGACACCTTGGTATCTTACACAGGAAGACCTATTGTGAGGATCCTTCTATGCTAAGGAGTTTGGAGTATAATCTTTTGTATTTTTAAGCAAGACTCAGTTTGCTGCTGTTAAGTTAGTAATGATGGCAATGATTTAGAAGAAGCACTGTGATGGAAAGAGATTCTCTACCTCCTACATCAGAGATTCTGTATCAGCCCTTTCTGTCTATACTGTTCACATGCATAGAATACTTCCAACATCCATCCATTCACCATCTATGAAACAAGTATTGGTTGTTTTCTGTTTCAGGCACTGTGGACTTAGTAAACAATAAGGCAATTAGGGCCTTTTGTCCTCATGGAGCTTACTGGGGGACATTGCAAAATGAATAAATTAAGAAGGTATTTGCACACTAGGATCTGTTTAGTCTGAAGATCTGATTTTCCTTCCCTATTTAAAGAGGCTTGGTGGTTTTATATTACTTCAAAGTAAAGTCTAACACCTTTTTACACAACATATAAGACAGATCTGGCCCCTGCCTGCTTCTCTAGGCTCATCTCTATATCTTTCTTGCTTCCCATTTTATTGTCAAATAATAATGAACCAGTGGTATGTCTTTGTACTTGTTCTTGTGTTACTTGACTCTATACCCCTGCTGAGGTATTCTTGTCCTTATTTATTTGCTTAACTATACAGAGTATTCTGCATTCTAAGCTGAGTTAGATAACTCCCCTTAGCACTCTCTGATGCCCTGTCCTCATCTTATCACTGGACCTTGCTGTTATGTTAAAATACCCTGTGTCTAAATCTTCATTATATCGGGAGCTCCTTCAGGGCAAGACTTTTTTTTTTTTTTTTTTTCTTACTTTTTGGAATAGTGCTTGGTACGTGGCTGTTATATTATACATTTATGTTGAACTAATGAGGTACCAACTTGCTAGTAGTCCATTGCCTTATTATACATAATAAGAATCTGAGGCAGTATCAGTAGGGATGGAGAAAAGAGACTAATTGCAAAAAACATTTATAAAGTATAATCAAAATTTAGTAGCAGATTAGATGTAAGAAAGATTTAAGGTAAGGAAACTTGTAATTTCTGGTTGTGCCATTATCTAATAGAGGGACACCAAGGGAGGGAAGAAGGTGAGGTACCATGATAAACTCAGTTTAGGGTGTGCTAGTTTTAAAAAAGACATGGTTAGGGCTAGGAATATCTCAGTTGGTGGAGTGCTTGCCCTGCTTGCACAAAGCCCTGGGTTTAATCCCAGCACCATACACAAAAACAGATATTGTTAATAATACTACATTTTTAATGTGAAACCTCACACACAGAAGTTAACTGAGGGTGGTGATTGGATGTATTAGTTAATTTGACTGTGTTAATTATTATACAGTCTATACCTATAACATGCCATCACATTGTATTCCTGGAAAAAATATAAAATTTTTGTTTGACAATTAAATGTTTTTAAAGGAGGGTTAAAGTCTAGGAAGGAAGTAATGAAGGAAAGGAAGGGAAAGAAGAAAGGAAAGAAAGGAAGGAAGAAAAGATAAAATATGAATACAGAGCTTGTGAGAAGTCAAAACAGAAAACCATAGTTTGGGAGTTATCTACCTGTTAATGGTTTGAAACTATTGCAATAAATATTCCCTCAAGAAAAACGAGTATGAAGAAGATGGTTTCATGAATGAGATGGCCTTTTAACTAAAGCATTTCAGAAAGCTCTTAAGGGACTGTTGAGTAGGGAGAATTATATTTTCCCTTCAGTGCTTGGGAAGCTCTGAATTTCCCTAGTATTTTAATTATTTCTTTATATAATTAGTTGGGGTATTAAATCTGAAGATCATAGGGTTTGGATACCTATTTTAGTATTTTTTCTTCTGGACCAGATTCCAGATATTGAATTTTTATCTTAGTGTTTTCTTCCTTATTATCATTTTGCTATTTATGTCCTGGTATCATTGATGAACCAAGAACTGAATAACTACTGTGATTTGTTGATTTAGAAAGATTATCCCTAGAAATGTTCTGTCTGGCTCAGTGATTCTTATGATCAGCTTGGTCATTGTGTCCCTGTAACTGGGAACTCCTATCATGTTCCTCCTCAATCTACTATTTATGAGGCTCAGCAAGCCTTCATCTAAATCCTAAATGTTGTTAATCTTTAATGGCTTCCTCGGGTTTGTATGGGAGGATTGAGCAGGAGGGTATTTTAATGTGTCTGGCAGCACTGTTAATTTTGCTGTTTCCCATTACTTGAATGTCATCTAATTTTGTATTAATCTTTATAACATAAAGATTAAAAATAGGCCCCAAATCAATATTCCTTTCTTCATTGTTCTCCTGATTAGGCAGAATATATGACAGTAAGTGAAGTATCTGAGGGGAAAACAAATCTTACCACTTAAACATGTCTTGGTTTGAACAGCTTTGCTTAGGCCTAGAGCCTTAGTCCTTCAGAGTAAGAATGAGACTAACAGGTGAGTCATGTTATTATCATCTACCAGACTGAGACTGGCTTATATGACCATCACTTCAATTTCTACAGAAATAGACGTTTTCTCTGTACCAGTAGCTGTTTACTTTTTTTTCCACCTAGTACATTATAAAGATGCAACAGTAACAGTGGCATGCTTGGCTGTGATTCTTTCCTGGGATTTGGGAGCTTATCAGAATCTCCAGGGGTACTTATAATTCGAAAAAGTCCCCCAGGTGTGATTCTGATTTGCTTCCTTCTCCTTCTCCTCCTCCTTTGAGAGTCACTGTTTCATTAGAAATTTCAGCATTAATTGGCATATTTATTAGTGTCTTCTTGCAAAGTTAGGCTTACTAATTCCCATATTTCCCCTTTGAGTGGTCCCCTTAATTCCTTTGAATATCATAGCTTCTGAAACCAATGTCTGCCTGTAACTATTACCAGAGCAGCAGTGTTTGGAAACCTACAAAATAAGGAGGTTTACACAAGTTTGAGGCTGAAGTTTATTTACACAGAAACCCTTTACAAAAGTCTTACATTAAAACCTAGATTTATAGTAACATCACTCTCCTCTCAGTTTTATTTCAACTTTTGATGATGAATTTAAAGTGAAGGCTGGGATAGCTAACACCCAGGTTCTGTAATTAACATTTTGAAATACTTGCTCATTCATATAACTCCTCATACACTCTTCCTTTTACCCATCTATTAATTCATTTTTATGCATTTCACAGTAAGTTGTAGGTATCACTAAAATTTTCCCTTAACACTTCATTATATTTACCATACACTAGTATTATTCAGTGTTTTTCTTTTGATTATAAAATTTACAGTGAAGTGTCCAAATATTAAGTGTTCATTACCTGATTTTAAACAAATGTTAAATATGTATAACCCAAATACCTATTAAAAATGTACATTTTAGACCCCCCTTTTTTCTTCTCACATTTTGTCCTTTTGATTTCTATGGTTTCTGAGTGAAAGGTAAGAAAAGTTTTGTCAGTGCTTATAGGACAAATAGAGATCACTATGTGTAATGACTTATCATCACATTTTTCTTCTCCATTGCCTGAAGTACTTTGTTTTTTAAATTGCTTGTGAATGTTTCAAAACAGGAGACCAAATGAGAAACTTTTCAGTTTTTAAACAATTTATTTTGGAAAATATCTAAGTGTAATATCTTTCATCTATTTAGTTAAATATTTTATAATACTAGTTAATGGGATAGTTTAGAACAAATGTTATATTAATATGTGCTTGTTTAAAACATATATATTATGCACAAAAAAAAACATCTCTAGACATCGTAGCCTATCCTGACAAAAGTGTTTTGCCATTTATTTAAAAATATCAGTGAAACATAATCTGCCTTTAGGAAACACAAACAAAATTTCTCTCACTATTAGTCTTAAATGTTCATCATTTAAAGCCTTGATACCAGGTAGATAGCACTTATTTTGCCAATTTTAGAGCAGGTGAACATATTTTAATATTCAGCAGTATATTTTAAACATGGTATGATTTTGAGATTGTTTTCTTGGATTTTACAAGGATCATCATGTATTTCAAATAAAATAATTCTGGTCCCAAAAGTAAATTGATATTTTCATAACAAAAAGATATAGCAAACACATAGTCGTTTGCATATAGTTCCTGAAATATTGCATACTGGCTTTGTCAGTACTGGTAAGTCCATTTCAAGGATGTCGCCCTTAGTCCATTAGTTTGGATAATGAGCCCTATAAAGTACATTTATAACTTGTGGCACTGCAAGGAGATGGATTCTAATTTTCATCCTTTTATCTAGACACATTGAAAGAAGGTCAATGGAGGGTTCTATATGATTCATTGTCCCAACACATATCAGATGACAGAGACCTGATAATGTCCATGCATAAGTGTTTTCCTTATTTGGAAACAGCACTTGAAAGAAATCTTTCTATGATCATCCTTTGAAGTAAAGTGGAAACAGATATTCAAAGAAGCTCTATCCCCCCTTTTTTTTCTGTTTTAAAACATTATCAAACGCGTGAGCAGATAGCTATTCTTGAACAGAAGAGAAAGCAGTACTTAACAGAAAAATAAAAAGCCTTCAGTGGCTTGTACAGATGGTGAATAATATAACAAGATATTTAATCAACTTTTCTTTCCTTTTTTTCTTAGAACTGTTAAGGGGGGGAAAGGCTCATTTTCTAAACAAAGAAAAAGCTTCCTAACATATGGAAAGCTTATAATTACATGCTAATACTTTTTATAACTTGTTTACTAATTGTAATTAAATAAGTATTTAAGTTGTATTCCATGTTCATTTTATAGATTAAAAGATGTCAAAATAGCAACAAGAATACATATTCTGTAATTAATTGTCAGTTTTGTATTAGAAAATATAGAATTGTAGAAAATTTTGTAATATTCACAAGATTTTATATTCAAACCCAGTAGCTGATTATTTTCATTTTCTTAATAATTTAATCATTAATGTAACACATTTTTGCTATGCTTATCTTCTTTATAGATGTAAAGCAATTATAGATCAGTTTGGTCAGAGAATAATCTCTAAGCATTTTCTTGTGGAGGACAGTTACTTTTCTGAGAACACATGCTCACGTGTGCAATACAGGTAAGGCGCCCCTCCACCCACAAGACAAGGGAAGGTGAAACTTAATGCTCTGTGATTGTATTGACACTTCTCTAGGATTCTGTCCTTCAAGTAACATGTAAAGTATAGCAAAGTTAAGTTATATTCAGTATCTTACCTTTCTTCTCTTATAGAGTCCTTTTTGGGGGATCTTAGCCTAATTTCAACTCTTTGTTTCAGCTGGGGTTTGTCTGTAGGTCATATACTCTTGTTTCATGAGCCAAGAAAAGATTAAAGCAGAACTTGACTTGGTTTGGGGAGGCAACACTTTTATCCTGACTTGAATCTTTGAAACAAACCTTCTGGTGGTTATATAACTATAAATGTTACTTTTTCATGAAATCTGAATCACTGCTTTACTCTTTTGTTTATTACAGGCAGATCTCCAGGGCAGTTCTGATTACAGACAGATCTGTACTAAAATCAGATTCAGATCAACAGGTAAATTCAGTTCTAGAAAAATAAAATTCAGTTCTAAAAATAAAAGTTGTGTATGTTAACATGGAAAACATACTGTTTTGATATACATGGTGAATTTTTGCTGTAGTCAAGCTAATGAACATCTATCTCTTCACAGTTTCTTTTTTTTGTAGTGAGAACACTTTAAGATCTTCTCTTAGCAAATTTTATGTATACAATGTAGTAGTATTAACTGTAGCCTCCATCCTGTGCATTAGATCTCTCAAACTTCTTCCTGCTTGATAGAAAGTCTTCTCTTCTTCAACCAATTCTCCCGTTTTGTTCACCCCCAGCCTCTAGCAACTACCATTCTACTTGGGCTTTTATGAATTTGACTTTTTTACATTGCACATATGAGATGATATAGCATCTGTGCCTGGTTTATTTAACTTATCTTTATGTCCTGAAGATTCATCCATGTTTAGTATATGATAGGATTTCCTTTTTTAAGAGAGAATAATATTCATATATCCCACATACATGTATATGAGATATATGAATATTATATACATAATATCTATACTCTATTCATTGACATACGTGTATATGGAATATTGAATATTATATGAATATTATGTACATATATATATATATATATATATATATATACACACACACACACACTCACATACACACACTGTATTTTATTTATTCATTGATATATACTTAGGTTGTTTCCATATATTGGCTGCAAAGAATAATGCTGGAATGAACATGGGAGTGCAGATATCTCCTTAAGATGCTGATTTCATTTCTTTACATATATACCCAGAAGCAGAATTGCTGGTTCATACAGTAGTTCTGTTCTATAATTTTTTGCAGAACCTCTATACTGTTTTCCATAATGGCTATATTAATTTACATTTCGACTAATAGTGTAAAAGCATTCCCTCACCAACACTTGATTATCTCTTGTCTCTTCCACATAGCCTTTCTAACAAATTTGAGGTATTATCTCACAGTCTAGTACTTATTATAGCATTGTTAACTAAATCTGCATGAAAATATGTACAAATCAATATTGGTAAAAGTATATCAACCCATATGTACTAATATTTTAATACATTTTAAAAATAGATAAAGGAAATTATGTAATAGCCTTGATATCTTAATTTATTCTATTGGAATAAATAATTGCATCTGTATAACAGAGATATTCTGGGAAAATTCAACATGTTCTTCATTTTTACAACTTTCTGTGAAATTGAAAATATATTGTTAACAGAAAAAAAAAAAGAAAATCATTGGAGAATACATTTAAAAACCTTAGAGAAAAAAAATCGTATGGTAGACAACCCAACGGTAATAATGGAAAGCCCATCATTAGGCCTCATATGATTTAATTTCAGCATGCATTCTCATTTTTGATATTTCCTTACCTCCATTGTTCATTTCAGTACCTTTTTACTTTTCCTTATCCTTGACTCTGTAGAAATGTCTCTCTGCCTATCATTTTTTTGTCAGTCTGCATACTTAAATTCAAGGGGTATATTCCCTTTTTCTTCTAACCATATTTTACAATGACATAAAATCAGTTTACTTTGTAGGTGTGACTCTCAGATCTAATGCTACTGCTAAAAATAGCCTCCTAAAATTCCTTAAGTTAGAATGTTCCTATTATATAAAACAGTATTTGAGTGGAGAAGTTAATTAATGGTCCCAATTGTTATTGCTAATAAAATGAACATTATATGAACAAACATCAAGTATATCTGTTATACATATAAGCATAAATACTACTTTTATTTAATTATTCAGCAAAGAACAAGTGCCTTTTACCTGTCAGCCAGTGTGCTGGGTTCTGAGGAGATAGTGGTCACCTGATAGCATCTCTCCCCTCAAATAGCATACAGTTTGGCGGATACAGATACAGACAAGTAAGTAGCAAGTACAGTTTGGTGTGACAAGTGTGAGCAAGAGTATATATAAAGAATGGTATCAGTAGCTATTATATCACTTATCACAGTGGCCTTTCACTGCTGGTTGGCTTGACTGTATCTCCCATTAAGCAATGAGACATCAAACACTGTGGGATAACTAAATGATTATGACTAAAAACATGACCATATTTGGAAAAATATCTTAAGGACTCCACCAAGATGTAATAACGACTTTTGGTTCCTGTAATTATCATATTTTTTTCTGAGATACAATCAATAACCTTACCTGAACTCTGAGAACTTAGCTCTCTCAAATGTCATACAGATTGTAAAAGCCATTTAAAGAGAACTCCTTCAACCTTCTAATATCACTTCCAGAAAATTTATGTTGACTCCAGTCTGTTCTTTCTATCATGGATAGTAGCAAAGAGAGTGAAGAGGAACGTAGATATATCTTGAGCTCCAAAATATACATCAAGTAACATGGTTATGATTATTGAAATAATTTATAGTTTTAGAATGTTTGTAGTTGTTTTCTCAGTGAGTTATCAATATGACATTCCCAGTTATACCATGAGCATAAAACTTATAGGGAAAAGTACAAATGGGGCTTTACCCTTTGGTAAGCATTTCCTATATGGGAGGATATAATTTCCTGAGACTAAGGATTAACATTGAAATTTCAGCTTTACAGAGAAACAGTGATCCAATAGTCATTTGGAATCTTTTAAATATAAAGCTATATAACATATCCCTAGTGTCTAGGCAGCATACTGTATATCAGAAACCAATTCTTAATAATAATTTCATGTTTTACTTCTAATTCTGAATTTCTGGTTTTATTAATGAAGTCCTATAATTAATGTGAAACCATTCATTTTGAAGCATTTCTTATAAATTTTCTTTCCACATTTCATTGTCCTTGGAATTGGTAATGTATTTAATTCTTAATGCTCTGTAACTACTATTTGAAGCCATTATGAGTAATCAAAAGTCAATTGACATGGTCTGATTTCAAACAACAAAGTGCATATATTTCAAAAGTAAAAGTTACAATTGCATCCTTGAAAATAATAGTTGATAAATTTAATAAATATTAAACACTTGAACAATTATTAAATTATATGAACACAACATAGGATAAAGTACAAATAATGCAGAAATTAAATATCAAGACAAATAGTACATGTTTCAAATTCTGTTTTAAAATTAAATCCTATAAGCAAATTTTTTAAAATATCAAGGGATATTTAGAAGTTTGGAAGTTAGCACTCTAATGATAAAAGAATACAAATGAGATCTAAGAGCTGTGTCTGATATTTTGTTTCTGCTTTTTAGATTTCCATTTTAATAGTACCAGCAGAGGAGCCAGGAAGTTTTTCTGTTCGAGTCATTGAGTTATGTTCTTCAACGATGACATGCATGAAAGGCACCTGTAAGCATATTAGTTGGGTTATTTGTGTTTTTTGTTTGCTCAAGGAGTAAGGGAGGGGGGCACTGTTGCAGTTGCCAGATTGTATTTCTGGAGATTTTTTCCCTTTATTATTCATAGTACTTATGCATATAATGTAAAGTCATACAGTAACTCATTTCATACCTTACCCTTGCCTGAAAACATTTGTATGGCTAAATCTTCACAGCCATAATTATCTAGTTCTCCAGTGAAGTGGTTTCTGTGACTTTCCCATTTTTTCTATAATTTTTCTTTCTAGGCTGCTTGGTTTCTTCTTTACTTCCTGCTTTAGCTGTTCAGGCTTCTTTAACAAAGTACCTTACATAGGATAATTTATAAGCAACAAAAATTTTATTTTTCACAGTTCTGGAGACTGGGAAGTTTAAGATCTTGGTGCCAGCAACAGTGTGTTTGGTAAGGGCCTGTTTCTCATAGGTGGCACCTTCTTTGTGTCCTCAAATGTTAGAAGGGGCCAATAGGATCCTTTGAACGCCTTTTAAGAAGTTAATTAATTTGTCAAATTTATTTTAAATGATACATAAAAACAAATATTTTATATACCCATGAAATATACACTGTGTGATGTTTAAGTCAAGTTAATATTACTTCATGAAACACCATTTCTTTGTGGTGAAAACTTTCAAAATAATTTCTTCTAGGATTTTAAAACATATAATACGGTATTGTTATCTGTCATCCTACTGCATATTTGCACACAAGAGTTCTTGCTTCTGTGTAATTATAACATGGTAGTCATTAATCAACCTTTCTCTAGGCCTTCCTCCCTGCTATTCTTCCAGTATATAGTAACCACCATTCTATTCTCAACTTCTATGAGATCAACTTTTTTAGAGTTGATCATCTCACTCATCTACCTGAGATGATATAGTATATGACTTTCTGTGCATGGCTTATTTCACTTAACATAGTGATCTCTGGTTCTTTCTATGTTGTTACAGATAGCAGGATTTCATTCTTTTTATGGCTGAAAAGTATTCCAGTATGTATACTTGTACCGCTTTTTTTTTTTTTATCTGTCAATTGATGTACACTTAGGTTGTTTCCATTTCTTAGCTATTGTGAATAGTGCTGCAATCAATATGGGAGTGCCAGTATCGTTTCACCTAATTTCATTTCCTTTGGATATGTACCTAGTAGTGAGATTGCTGGATTGCTGGATCATATGGCAATTTTCTTTATAATTCTTTTCAGTAATCTTCATACTGTTTTCCACAGTGGTTGTACTAATTGACCTTTGCACCAACTGTTTGTAAGAGTTACCCATTCTCTACATTATTGCCAGTGTTTCCTAGGGTTTTTTTTTTTTTTTTTTTTAAATCTTCTTTGATAATAGTCATTTTGAGTGAAGTGAGTTGATATCTCATTGTGTTTTAACTGGCATTTCCATTATGGCTAGTGGTTTTCTTTCATGTACTTGTTATCCCTTTGTATTCTCTTGAAACAATTTTATTCAGGTTATTTGCCCATTATTTAATCTGTGTTTTTTGTTTGTATTGAAATTAAAATTTTGGAATCCTTGACATATTCTGGATCTCAACCCCTTGTTAGAAGTATAATTTGCAAAGATTTTTCTCATTTTCTCCAGATTGTGTCTTCATTTTGTTGATTGTTTCTTTTGCTGTGTAAAACTTTTTAGTTTGGCATAAACTCATTTGTCTCATTTTATTTTTGTTGCCTGTGCATTTGTGTCTTATCCAAAAAATCATGGTGAATTCCAGTGTTTGGAAGTGTATCTCATACGTTTTATTTAATGTAGTTTTGGGTATTTACATTAAAATTTTTAATCCATTTTGAGTTGTCCGCTACATGTCGGCTATTGACATGTAGCATCACTATTGATTTTTACATGTTTTACTACTAAGAGTTTCAGTTACATTCCTCTAGATTTTTTTTTTTTTTTTTTGTACTTCAGATTGAACTCGAGGGTGTTTAACTACACATCCCTAGCCCCACACCCCACTTTTTGTTATTTTTTTATTTTGAGACAGGGTCTCCTAAATTGCTTAGGCTGGCCTTGATTTTGTGGTCTTCCTGTCTCAGCCTCCCAAGCTGCTGGGATTACAAGCATGTGCCACTGTAACTCCCTGTTCCGCATCTTTATGTTCAATTTTCCCAGCAGCAGTTATTGAAAAGACTGCCTTCTCCATTGTGTTCTTAGTACTGTTGTCTAAAATCAGTTGACCATAGATATTTCAGTTTATTTCTGGGATATTTATTATGTTCCATTAGTCTATGTGCTTGTTTTTATGCCAATACCACACTATGTTGATGACTACAACTTTGTAGTCTCTTTTGAAGTCAGGTAAGATAAAATTGTGCCCCTGATTTGTTTGTTGTTGTTTGTTTGTTTGTTTTTTGGCTCAAGATGGCTTTGTCTATTTGGGATTTTTCATTGTTCCATATTAATTTTTAGGTCTTGGGGCTGGGGTTTGGCTCAGTGGTAGAGTGTTTGTATAGCATGTGTGAGGCACTGAGTTTGATTCTCAGCACCACAAATAAATAAATGAAATAAAGGTCTATTGATAACTAAATAATATTAAAAAAATTTTTTTAGGTCTCTGAAGAATGGCATTGGTAATTCGATAGAGACTGCCTTGAATCTGTAGATTGCTTTGTGTAGTATGGGCATTTTTAACAATATTCTTTCTTTCATCAGGGTTTTATAATTTTTATTATACAAATATTTCAACTCTTTGTTAAATTCATCCCTAGATATTTTATTCTTTATAGCTGTTGCAAATTTGATTGCTTTCTTGATTTCTGTGCCAGATAATCAGCTATAGACATGTAGCGTCACTACTGATTTTTACATGTTGATTTTGTATTCTGCAACTCTGATTAATTCAGTTATTACTTCTAATAGTTTGTTGATGGAGTTTGGGGGGATATATATACATACACACACACACACACACACACACACACACACACACATATATATATATATATGAATGAGATTGTGTCATCTGTAAAAAGTGATAATTCAAAGACTTCTTTTCTAATTCGGGTATCTATCTTTTACTTCTTTCTCTGCCTGATTTCTCTGGCTAGACCTTCCAGAAATGTGTTGAATGAAAGTAGCAAAAGTTTATATCCTTGACTTGTTTCATATCTTAGGGAGGAAGCTTTCAGCTTTTCCCCTTTTAATATAATGACATCCATTGGCTTAGTACGACTATCCTTTGTTATGTTGAGGTGTGTTCCTTTTATACTTCATTTGTGCTGTGTATTTTTATCAGGAAGGGATGTTAAAATTTATCAGATGTCTTTTATACATTTATTGAGGTGGTTTTTGCCCTTCATTGTTAATGTGTATGTAAAACATCTTTGTGTCCCTGGAATCAATCCCGCCTGATCATGGTGTGTGATAATCATTTTAATGTACTACTGGATTCAGTTTGCTAGAATTTTTCTTCTGTGTTCATCAAACATATTGGCCTGCAGTTTTCTTTCTTTTTTTTTTTTTTTGTCGACCTTAGCTGAT